TGTGTGTGTGTGTGTGTGTGTGTGTGTGTGTGTGTGTGTGTGTGTGTGTGTGTGTGCGTTATAGATTTTCCCCACAACAGCCCCAATTCCACCCAGATGAATAGATTCAGAATCAAAGCAGACTTTGTCCTACTGCGGACAACGAGAGCATTTGAGATGAGACAATCACAGTCCAGAATATTAAAGCAATTTTATAATTAGAGAGTGTTTTGGTTGTCCGTGCGGTACCCCTTCCAGGTACATGAGGAAAGTTAACAATAACAGGGGGGGTAGAGTGAGGACTGAACCGATTGATTGTGTCGTGGATGATCGGAGTCTGCCACCGAGGCTCATGCTGAAGGGTGGCCCCCAAAGATGAATAAGAGGGAAGCAAAGAAAAAAGAGGAGAAGAGAGAACTGTTGTGTAAAGGAAACTGTTGTGTAAAGGGTCGTCGCCGAAGCTTCGGCCGAAGGGCGGCCTGGTGTTGAAAGTTAGAACCAAGAAGGGGATAAGGAGAGAAAGGATAATGAACTAGGAGTAGTGGAGATTGGGGACCCACCGTTCAACCGTTGAGGCCTAAGCTGAAGGGTGGCTCATTTTGGAGGAGCTAAAACACAAAAAAGATTGAAGTGGGAGGAGAGAGGTGAAGCCAATAATAGGAGGAGAGCGTGGCTGAGGTGAAAGGGGTTTAAGAAGGGACTGTCGCCGGTCTCTTCGGATGGAAGGGTGGGCCCAAAGCTTAGAAGTTAGGCTAATGCATAAGAATGGTTAACGAGTGGGAAAGATAAAGAGGGGGTGGGCTGTCACCGACGCCTTCAGGGAGAAGGATGGGCCCACACTTAGGTCAGAGCGCGGGAATGGTAAGGTCGAAACAGCCAGGGGGGAGCCAAGGCAAAAAGGGCTACCGCCGAGGCCTTCAAGCAGAAGGGTGACCCAGAAATGGAATAAGAAAGGGGAGATGCTCCAATCTATTCGTGGGGAGTAGGTCAAATGGCCCACCTTTGTCAAAGGCAAAGAACTTAGTTTAAGGCTAGATGGAAAGGACTAGCCTAGGTCATAAGCGAGAGGGGCAAAGGGCCCACCTTTCTCAAAGTCAAAGAATTTAGTTTAAGGCTAGAAGGTAAGGACTAGCCTAGGTCATAAGCTAGGGGGGTAGGTGTCGATTTAGGAAGGGATGGACACATGGTAACAAGTGAGGGCAGAGGATTGCCGTTGAGGCGCTAGTTGAGGGACAACCCGGTTCCTTGCCATGCTACTTAGAGAGCTAAGGTCAGAGCGAGGGAGATCTAAGGGAATGTATTGACGAGCAAGAGTGGAAGTCTGAGTAGTGGCAGGCTAAGGAGGAGGGACGCCACCAAGACGTTAGTGGAAGGGCAGCCCAACTCCTTTGCCGAGCTACTCAAGCTCAAGATAGAAAATGGGGTAGAAGTTAGATCCGTACGCGATGAGGAAGATAAGAGTCTAATTGGAGGCAAGTGAGGGAAGTGAAGCCCCATTGAGACGGTAAAGGAGGGGTGATTCACCTCTCAAAACGAGGCCGCAAAGACCTTCGGGTGGAAGGGCAACCCGACACATGAGCTAGCTACCTATGGGGTGAGGGAGGGGCCTAAGAGCCAATAAGTCAGGGGTTATGTGATGACAGGAGGGGGGGCTGTTGACGTCATTAGGTGGGCGAGCGTTCGTGGACGCCCTAAGCCCGAAGGGTGACCACCCAAGTCGTATAGCGGAAGGGTAGCCGCCAATGCCAAGGACGGAGGGGTGGCAGCCGACGTCATTAGACAGAAGGACCGCCGCCGATGCCTTGGACGGAGGGGACACCGTCGACGCTTTGGGATGAAGGTGTAGCCATCGATACCTTGCGGCGGAAGGAAGGCACCCCATCGAAGTGCTGGAAAGGTCTGGTCCTCTGACCTCTTCCATGATACCTCGCGCCCGACACCTTGGCGCCGCAGGGTGGCCAATGGCTTAACCACCACGCAACCCTCGCAGAACCTTACAACATGGCTTCCTCATTTAAGTTGTTTGGTAGGATGTCGATGTACTCGACAAGAAGGTTAGGGTGCCATATCAGCACCCTAAACCTCCCCATCGATAGAGTCGCCCTGCGCGGCCCTCACCGCAAGGTGCCGAAGAGGGCAGGGCGCGCAACTGCATCTGGGATTCGTCGGCGATAAGAGGTTAACCTCTCAGCGCGCGTGTTAGCCGGCACTTGAGTGTCAAACGCGACCCCCGATCCAAGTGTGGGCCACGTGGTCTTGGGCACTGCATAATTCGTCACCATACTAACCACTCATGCGTTTGTACATGATTGGTTTCAATGAAGAAGTTTACGTTGCCGCCCTACTTATCCAAAGTCATGTGGACGGCGACCAACCTCTCGACCACTGAACGAGTTATAGGTTTGTGTTGGTGGGAGGACGTCACAAGGTTAAGCCAAATGTCCTAGTCGACCAGCGTAGGGCCGCGCTTGGGAAATCAGGGCCCAGGCGTCGGTTCGCGCACAACGTCAATTCGGGCGTTAACCACTCGCATATGTTCTTGCCTGGTTGAAAACTGGTTGCACAACAACCGTCGGTCTACCCTTAGAATTCGAACGGGTAGAGAAAGAGGGGAGAAACCATCGACGTCTTCTGGGCAGCACGGCGACCGCCAAAGGCAAGGACGGAAGGGTGATCACTGACGTCGGGCGACCGCCAAAGGCAAGGACGGAAGGGTGATCACTGACGTCATCAGACGGAGGATCGTCACGAATGCCCTGGACGCAATTCTTCGAGTCTCTTCCGGAGCCAGAGGTGGACGATGGTTCTATTTCGAAGGACCCCATGGAGGAGAAGGACAAAACGGAGGAGGAGCTGGTGCAGGAACGGGCCTTCATCAAGACACCAAAGGGCTAGATTCTAAAGAGCCTCGAAGACGAGGAGGGGGAGGAGTGCACCGACGATAGCGACCTTGACGACAAGGTGTGGAAGGGGAAGATTCCAGGGTCGGAAGCGTCTAGCGAAGAGGAGGTTGACGAGTCCTCGGACAATGACTTTGAGTTGGGAATCCCGCCGTCAATACCATGCACCACATATGTTGAGCGGAGGGAAGCAGCACAACGCCGTCGAGAACGGCCACCCACAACACCATCTCAATGCACAACGAATACCACAGCGCATTACAACATCCAATCGGATGTCGAGCTACCACAGACTGGCACCGACATGGAGATGGTGCTTTGCCCCGGTCCAATCAATACAGATGAGGAGGCGGACGACCGTGCAAAGGCATGGGCTGATGGGAATCAAGAACGGGTGCAAAGGAGAATCGAGGGAGGAGGAAGAGCGACGTGCAGCCATACCAACCCGCAGAGAATTGGAGAAACTAAAGAAGAAGGTTGGAGAATGAGAATCAGAGCCAGTGGGGGATATGAGCCAGCTAGAGGAGGAGAAAGAAGAGGTGATGGGCCAGCAAGAGGACAAGGCAGAACACGAGATGGGCCAGCCAGCGCAGGAAGAAGAAAAGATGGGGGAGCAAGGGGAGGACGAAGAAGAGGCTGGCATGGAGCAGCGAGAGGAGGAGATGGAGGGCACGGAACAGCAAGAAGAGGAGCTGGAAGAGAGCGAGGAGCATCAGCAGGAAAAGATGGAGAACAGCGAGGAGGAGCAGCAGCAGCATGCACTGACGGTCGTGTACAAGCGTCGTGGGTCACCGGAGAATTCCCCCGACTTCCCAGCCAACAAAGCGGAAGCCCAATATTACAACCTGTGGGTCAGCAGGGTTGGGAGGAAGAGGAAGGCGCCCCGTGAGGACGAACAGTCGAAGCCAAAACTTCCACGTGGCAGGCCTCGGAAGAACACGACCACCGGTCCGTCTGCAAAGCCGAAAAAAAATAAACAGTGGTGCAAGCCTCGCAAAAAATTGTCGAGGATGACCCCGAATCCGACAACTGCAGCAAGCAGTTGGCCGAAGACGTGGGTGACACCACGGACTGAGATGGTGTGTTTGTGTTTGTGAATGTGTTGTGTGTGTGTGTGTGTGTGTGTGTGTGTGTGTGTGTGTGTGTGTGTGTGCGTGTGCGCGCGCGCGCGCGAGCGCACGAGAGAGAGAGAGAGAGAGAGAGAGAGAGAGAGAGAGAGAGAGAGAGAGAAGTTCGAATGTGAATCGATATTGGCCATATGCAACTGATATGCTGCTAAAGAACTCATAGATTTCCTACAAGTTGTCAGTCTGCAAGTCTTCTTCTTCTTCTTCTCCATCTTATCAGTCTTCTTCTTCTTCTTCTCGTCAGTCTTCTTCATTTTTTGTCAGTCTTGTTCTTCTTCAGAATGAAAGGGTCGATAACATGCATGCAGCAGACATCAGAGCAGCAGGCAACAAACATGGAGAGCCACCAACCCAGTACATATCAGATGACATGCATTCAGCATACAGCAGGCAACATACATGCAGAGCCCCCAAACCCCAGACACCCCCCCCAACCCCAGCACCCCCCACCCAAACCAACCCCCCCACCCACTCCCCAAAACCAATTTTATTGCGGATTTGGGGTCCTCTCGTAGAGCACAGAGCGATCCTGTTTTTTTTTTCGAAACAAGTGCGGTAGTACCACACTTTCGAACTGTAAAGGCAAAAAAAACATGAATGGGCAATGAAAAAATGGCCGTAGTTCCGGAAGGCAGAAATAACAGCAAAAGGCGGTAACATCAGGCCCCGAGTTCGAAAAGGCAGACATACCGTATTTTGT